ACATTTAATCAAAGATTTTTTAGAACTGATCCCATGAGGCTGAGAACTGAGGCTCCAAATAAAGCCAAAGGAAACTGGCTTAAAGGGGAGTGGCTCAGCCCCTCTCGGGATCAGCAATACACACGCCACAGTTAAAAAAAATAGCTATGGCACCAAGCCACTGTCTCCAATTTGAGAATCTCTTGAGGTTGTTGCCCTAAAATGTTTCACAAGAGGAGTGAATGGACAGGAGGAATGGAAGGGTTGCTTAATGGGGTTTGTAAGTTGCAGTTCCGACAGCAACTGGATTGGAATCAGCACAAATATTTGTGTCACTTGGCAGCAGTGATGTCCAAGCATGGTTTGCAACCTTCACTGGTGACTCAACAATTGACAGCAAATAAAGATCTGCCTGTTTAGAACTCTAAAGGCTTCACAGCTGGACGTACATACTGCCCTACAACTGCACGCTAGGAAAATACAGCATTTGAAAGGAGTTCTCCTTTGCTTGTTTTTCTTGTCCAAAGTACATTTAAACAACCACCTTGTAACATGGGCCTTCCCCTTTCCTTGCTGCCTTGGCCCCAGTTCCTAATGATAGTGCCCTGGCAGAAGGGAATGGGACAGAGCAGCAGAGTCGTTGCTGATGTGGGAGAGTTCAACTGGATTCAAAGGAGAGATCATACACCTTGCTAGCTAGGGCCCAAAGACTAGGGTGACCAGATGTCCTGTTTTTAATGGGACAGTCCCGTATTTAAGCATTCTTCCAGATATCCTGACTTTTTGTTAACTATGGGCAAATTGTCCCGTATTTTCTGGGATCGCAGCACAGAGCCAGCAGCGGGGGGCAGCAAGCGGCCCTGCCACCCCCTTTTGCTCTCGCCAGCGCATGCCTGCGACGGAATCTCCCTTGCAGCCTTCTCCAGCGGCAGCAGCGACACCAGTGCCAGGGATGGGCAGTGACAACGCGGCCAGGAGCAGCCCAGGCTCCACCACTCCCCCTGTTCCTGCTGCTGCACCTGCCCCGCCACCCTCCTGGGCAGCACTCCAGCTTCGCTGCCATCAGCTCCCACCTTGCATGGGGGAGAAGCCAGGGCCAGGCGTGCCCTTCCTCCTCCGTGCATCTGCTGTGCTCCCTGCTCCCCCGGGCGGAGGGGGCAGTGGGAGCAGGCTGTGAGCAGCATTTCACCTCACAGCCTACCCACCCCCCCCGCCGCACATGGGACCCCTAGTGGGGTGTGGAGGAACATGGGGGGTCATGACAATGCCAGCCCTGCACTGGAGTGAGGGCTAGGAAGAGTGGATCAGGCTGGCCAGCCTGCCCTACATGGGAGGGCCTCAGGCAGCCCAACACACGGGCGTGCAATGGGGGTGGGGGGGTGGCTTGGACCACCAGCCCTGCAGGCAGGTGACAGGGGGGCTCGGACCACCAACCCCGCATGCGGTGGGGGGGCTTGGAAGACCAGCCTTGTGCGCAGGGGAGAAGTGGGGGTCAGACCAGCTCTAGGGGGGTAGAGAGGATCACAAGGGATTGCAGGCAGGCAGCTGGGTGCTTGGACCAGGTTGGGGGGGGTCACAGGCAGGTAGTAGGGGGCATCAGATGGGGGGGGGGTTCACATGCAGGTGGCAGGTGGCAGGATGGCTTGGGCCAGCCCAAGAGCATGGGGGCTGGGAGACCTCAGGGAGGGCTTGGGCCAGCCTGGGGGTCTCCTGTTTTCCCTTTGGGAAAATATGGTCACCCTACCAAAGACCCACAAGAAACTGCTAACATAAGACCAAATACAACTGTGAATTCATGCGGGGGAAGGAGGGCAAGAGGAGCGAGAATGCAAGGGGGAGTGTTTCTGAGGGACCAAAATTGAGACATGTCCAATTTTGGTCCCTCAGAAACACTCCCCCTTGCATCAGGAAAGAAAGGTAAAAAATTCTAAAATCATCTGTTGCCTGCATACCTGCAGAGAGCAGACTCCACTGGAGACAGAGCAGATCCATATGACAGACATAAGAATGCGTAGCCAGGTGGAGGGAAGAGGGGGAGCGGAAAAAAAAAGGCGCCACCCGCTGTGGCGCTTTTACTGACGGGGCAGCGCTCCGGGTCTTCGGCGGCACCTCAGTGGCGGGACCTTCACTCGCTCCGCGGGTCTTCAGCGGCATTTCGGCAATGAAGCTTCAGCGCCACCGAGGACACCCGAAGCGAGTGAAGGTCCCGCCGCCGAGGTGCCGCCGAAGACCCGGAGCGCCGCCCCGTCAGTAAAAGCGCCTCAGTGGGTGGCGCCCAGTTCACACCCACACCGCGGCAAGGAGCGGAACATCAGGCCTGGCTGGGCCACACGTGGAAGGAAAGGGGCGGCCGGAGCTCCCGGGGCGCTGGGACCCCGCACACCGGGGCGTCCCCAGGGGAGGAGGGGTGGACGACATGTGGGGAGGGGGCGCTGCCGGGGGGACCCTGGATCCCAGCGGTGGGGGGCTCCCAGCGGGGGGCAGCAGCAGCACTGCCTTGGGGGGCAGCACGGACTCGGAGTCGATGGGCCAGACCCAGCGCAGTGCACACTGAGCAGGGGACCCCTGAGCTGGGCTGTACCATCTCCCATTGGCCTGGAGCAGCGAACCGCGGCCACTGGGAGCCACAATTGGCCGAACCTGCAGACGCAGCTGGTAAACAAACCGGTCTGGCCCACCAGGGGCTTTCCCTGCACAAGCAGTGGAACAAGTTTGGGAACCACTGGTCTAGATAATACTTAGTCCTGCCTTGAGTGCAGGGGACTGGACTAGATGACCTCTCGAGGTCCCTTCCAGTTCTATGATAATTTCCCCTAATATATGAAGAAGCCAGTGTTATCTAGGAAGTTTGCAAAATCCACCTCTGAAAAAGTAACTTGTACATTTACACCATAACTGCTCCAGAGCCAACTGGACCTTTACATTCACACGTGCAGATAAAACATTACAACCGACAAGGGGCAGAAAACTCCAGAGTTAAGGCTGAAAATCTGCCTTCATCTCAGGGACTGGGTTTTCTTTCTGGACCTTACATAGTTCATTCATAGGAGACCCAGAACAGTGGGAGACTGTAAAACGTATCTACAGGCTATCAACATGTACAGATGTTATTTGCTGTGGGGGAGGGGAGTAAATGGCTGGTATTTATATATTTTATAGTGGTAAAAACCAGGCAATTTTATTTGAGATGTTACTGTGAAATTTAATTATGGCAGAGTGCCTGAAGCCAGGGTTCAGCACCTATTTATGTTTTTGTACAGTGCTTTGCACAATGGGGTCCTGGGCTTCTAAGTACCACAGTAATACAAATAAATAATAATAATAATAAATAAAGATATATAGCACAAGATCAGCAATGCAGGCACAAAAGGAGCTGCTCAAGACATGAGGCCTGATTCTGATCTCCATTTCCTTGGTGTAAAATGGGAGTTACTTCCACTGAAGCTGGTGGAGTTACACCAGTGCAACAGCAGCATAAGATCAGATTCAGGCTGATCATTTCAACTTTAAATTTCTGGCTTTATAACACCCTTAATATTGGTGCTTTGTGCACAACTTTTTTTTTAACAAAAGAACCAGATTAGCTGGATGCCAGAACAGCCACCTGTTAAACCTGAGTTTACTGTTCAAAGCATTTGATTTTTAAAAAAAATTCACCAACAATGCAGAGATTCCCACTGTAGTGGAGTACATATTTTTAAGTGCCTTATTTGCTCTTACTTAGACAAAACTCCATTGATTTCAGGAAGAATGTTGCTTTGGTAGGAAGTGTTGAACAGGAAGCTACATGGGGATTAAGTGCCAGATCTGGTCATCCCTCAATACACTAAAGAGATCCAAAGATTCAGACTTTTAGACGCAAGTCAAACCACCGCAGAACAGAAAAGCAAACTTCTTGTTTGTTTTGGCACTGTGAATTCTTTCCATCTTATCTTTGGTGTAAGTAGGAAATCCAACAATACATTTTCTAACTCAAAAGATCATTTTCCTATCCAAAAAAGGACAGCTTCTTTTGTAAGTTCACCAGCTGGGGATCATTTTGCGAGAAGTATTGCTATACCTAGAGTCTCATTGTAAACTGTAATTTAACCATTTTTAAAAAATTGATCTTTAAAAAAAAAGAAGAAATAATTTGGATACTTGGCAAAGAACCTGTTCAATTGCTAAATGAGTAAAGGTTAAAATATTCCAATGACAAGCAAGGAATGAAATACACTAAGTAAAAATAACAATGTCTGAAAGTTAGTAATTGCAACTTGTTCTAATAGTGGCAATGAACTCTAAAACATGCTTCCAGAATTAAACATTTCTGCTTGGCCCGACTGCAGCGTGGGAGACCCAGGCTCGGGAATGACCTTAGGTTAAATCATGTTCAGATTTAAGTGGGAGAAGTAAAAGGAAAGGTCCATACCATGTCGCCATCCTAGGGAGGAACCAGTTCAGAGCAGTATTAAAGTCCTAAGCCAAGATTTTCAGAAGTAACTGGTGATTTTGGGTGTCTGACTTGACACACCTTAAAGGAGCCTGATTTTCAGAGGAGGGTGCTTAGCATTTTCTGAATATCAAGATCCTTTAAATGATCTCAAGTTGGGCACTGCTGACAATCCACAATATTGCTGTTGTCACTGCTGACAATCCTGGCGACAGAGGTAAGCCAATTTAGCCGCAGGGTTTCTGTTGCAATTTAGAAGTGGTTTTGGGAATTAGTGAGGGATTTCAGATTTAAATAAAGAAAATAATTGCCTTAGAATTACAAGATAAGTAGGTATCTAGGTTTGTTTACCTAAGTAGGTCTTGATTTAATTATTTAGAGTCTCCAGATACTGTCGCTTATGCTTAGGAGCATATGAGCTCTTCGGAGACAGGAAGAAGAACGGGAAAGCCCACACGTGGACACCATAATAAAAATGCTTCCACACTGGGTTTATACTGTTGCAACTCCAACTTCAATAGTGTAAGTGAAACCTGGCCCGTATACTCTACGTAAAAATGGCATAAACAGAGGAAGAAGACAGTCATACCGGATTATGCCAAGAGGATCTACATCTTCTTCCTCCTCTTCCTCCTCTTTTCTGGCATCTTGATCTTTTACTAATCCAAACCGAGGGATTATGTCAGATGTCCTCTCCTCTTTGAAGAAATCTAACTCTTCGGTTTCTTCATCTTTCTCCTCCTCAGGAACATTTTTACCTTTCAAGTCAATGACACTAGTAGATTTTGTCCCTGCGAAAAACAATAATGCACGAAGAACTGAGCATGCCAATTTAAACTCACAGCCATACTTTTTTTGTCAATTTCTTCCACTTGTTCCCTTGGGGAATGTGTTCCTAGCTTTACAATCAGCTATTGTCAACTATATCCAGCAATCTGGATTGGAGAGTTAGTTCCCCCTATCCACTAACATGGCATTATATGCACCTCTAGATCTGAATATTTGACACTGACTTAACATATCTGGACTTCTCTCAGGTCAAACCCCAACAGAGAGTGAAAACTAAAAGTACAATCCTGGACTGCATGAAAAATGAAGTTGAGATAAGTATGTGGTACAATTCTTCAATTCGCACACATAAATAAAAATCTAAAATGGGTAGAAGAGACTGTGCCCACTAGAACAGAGGTTCCCAAACTGTGGTACACATACCCCTGGGGGTACACAAGACATCTCTGGGGAGCACATGGGAGAAACAGTATAATGGTGGATTTTATTTATTAATTATTTTATTTATTGCATTTTCATAATAGGCTACTCAGATGCAGCTTTAAAACTCTGTGGGAATTTGTTATATATAATACGGTAGTTAATTTACTTCAAGATGTACCAATGAGAACACACAGATACGCAGAGATGCTGACATACACAACCCTCATCTCCAACCACTGTACAGCGTGGGTTCAGTTGCCCAGCAACTGTCCTGTCTAACTGAGCTCAGAACTTAGTCAAAGGGTTTTATTTCTCTGCTTCCACAACATTGCATTATAAATATATCTGTATGTAACAGTGAAATATGGACAGATGGCTAAAGACAGGTAGTGTTGAGAAGAACACACAAAGTATCAGTGATGAGAAGGGAAGGGGTACACAGGCAGCTGGTAGATCTGGAAGGAGATACGCAATAAGAAAAGTTTGGGAACCTCTGCATTAGAGCATGCACTGGAATGGAACCCAAGCTTCCCAAGTCTCATCATTCCTCTGCTGCCAGAAAATATCTGTGAAAGCCTCTGGCAAAGTGTTGCATCCCCCTCTAGTGCTGGTCCACACAGAGGATAAGGGCCTACCACTGCTATCAATTACTCTGTTAACTCAAGTGGCAGATGTCTGTGCAGTGGATGTAAAGCTTCCAACTCTTCCGATAATCCAGGTGAGTGTCAATTTGATGCCCCATGATGGAATTAATTTTTTCCAGTTTGCTTTTTAAAAAAACCTAGAAAATTACACACAAAAATACTGTGTTATAAGAACATTATTAAGGTTGCAATGTCAAACACCCCAAAGATAGGAAATGCCAGAATTGAGATTACCTGTGCAACCCCTTATGAGTATGCATTATGATACAGGCTTTAATTATTTGGTCACATCCTATTTTTTCCACAGGACCCTCTGCTTCATTCATTTAGTGAGCAGCTATTCAATATTGTCTTTTCTCCTCATTGTTCATTGCGTGGCCCCAGACCTTATTTATTGCACACTGTTCAAATCCTACCACGAAGACAGAATTATTAATTTCCTCATGGGCTTTCCTATGGCATTTATCACTGTAGTATCCACGTGCTTCACAAACATTAATTAATTGATTTTCACAACACCTATGCGAGGAAAGTGGGTGTATTATCCTACGTTTACAGATGGGGAACTGAGGCACAGAGAGATCAGAGTCAAAAGCATTCATTGATATTGGATGCCCAATCTGAGATGCCTAAGGCCTGTTTTTTCAGAGCATTATACAGAATTTTATATGTTCTTGGCACAGCTCCCATTGACTTCAGTTGCAGCTGTGAGTGCTCTGCATTTCTACAAATCAGACCCCAGTATCTCAAGTCAGGCATCCAGAAAATGAGGAACACACAATTAGTGACCACTTGTGAAAAGACTGCTTTAAGTGGCTTGTCCAGATCAAACAGGAACCCTGCGGCAGGGGCAGGAGCAAAATCCAATTCTCCAGGGCAGCATTCAACTGCCTGAACCATGAGACCATCCTTTCTCTTCCTGCAGTCCCCTGCTTCTTTCATTACACATCTTCCAACTTCAGCAACAAATAAAGCAAGGTCTATAGACAATAGCCTCCTTCAATATGCAGCCCTCATTCATCTCCAGAGCAGGTCCATCCTGTGCAATGAATGAGGCAAGGAAAAAATAGCATGTGATCATGTCATTAAAGATTGTACCATAATGCATATGCACAAGGGGGGCTGAATTAAGGTTACACAGAAGACCTTAATTCTAGTATTTCCTAACTTTTGAGTGCTTGACTTAATATCGTTTTAACAGGGTGTGTGTGTGTCTGTGTGTGTGTGTGCCTGTGTGTGTGTGTGCCTGTGTACGCGTGCGCCTGTGTACGCGTGCATGTGCAATATAATTATTTTAGTTACCTAAGAATTCCAGTAATTCAGGACTTGTTGCTAGTTCCAAATCTTTGGCGATGAGCCGCATGATGTCATTGAACACCACTCTTCGTTCTCGGATATCAGATTCCCCGACAAACAGAGCTTTCCTGGGTAATGGTGGAAGAGATGCCTGTGGGTAGTGGGCAGTCAGCTTTTGGTAAAACTCGTCAATCTCACTGTACTTCTTAGAGACCTGTAATGAAATATACATGTTGGATTCGTTTATGAACAGACAAGAGTGAAGGACAGACCGCAAACGTGCAGGGAGTTATGCTCCATGAAACATTTCCCCTGGATGCCTCAGTGTAAAATATGCAGTACCAAAAAGCTTTCCATCTGGCCTGGTGTTAGCTTGTCATCTTTGTAGTTCACCACACAGCGTTACTGTGATCCCCTACTGTAATGAAATAAAAATCCAGCACAGTATTCAGTCAGACAGCATGGGCATCAGCTACTTGCATACATAGAGGATCAGAACTCGAGATATTCTTCTTTGAAAGCACAGGCCCCTAACATTCAGCTACAAACAGACTCTTTGCTGCCTGCCCTGTGAGAGGTCAGGAAGTAGGAACCTCTCCAGGCTAGCATCCTAATGGAAAAAGCTGCAGGGATCTTATTCCCAGTTTGCTGCTTCTCTTTAAGGCAGATTTGCCAACCTTGGTAGGTAGCTGCTCTATGCTGTTGGTGCCTGAATGTCTGCCGCATTTGCTAATGTACCTGATAACCAGCACAGAACCTCAGAACTTGTCACTACCTCTATTGGGAAGCAATGACTCTGAAAAAAGATTTGGGGGTCATCAGCTGAATATGAGCTCCCAGAACAACGCTATGGACAAAATAGCCAATGCAATCCTGGAATACATAAGCAGGAATCACAAGTTGGAGCAGAGAGATTACTTTACCTTTATATTTGGCACTGGTGTGACCGCTGCTGGAATACTGTGCCCAGTTCTGGTGCTCACAATTCAAGAAGGATGTTGATAAATTAGACAGAGTTCAAAGAAGAGCCACAAGAACAATAAAAGGATTAGAAAACATGTCTTATAGTGACAGACTCAAAGAGCTCAATCTATTTAGCATAACAAAACAGAAGATTAAGGGGTGCCTTGATTACAGTCTATAAGTATCTATATAAGGAACTCAATGCCCACAAATACGAAGGAGGCATCACAGCAATATACTCTGCTACTCCAGACACAATTATCTGGCTGAACCATCTTAATGTAAAACTATAGTAGTTGCTCTACATTTACTTCAGCCAGAAAAAGAAGACTGAGTGAGGCAATTCCTCATCTGCTGGACAGCAAGGGGTGTCAACTGAGACAGTATCTCATTTACATATAAACACCAGGTACTTTGAGAACACAGGGGTATAATTTGACCCAAGTTTTGTACTTGGGGCCCATAATTTTTGAGATGACCTTGTTGGGAACCCACCTGCACAAAGTCTGGATGATGACTGGGGAGGAATCACCCTGATTAAACCAATGTTTGCCGGGGTGGGGTAAGAGGCCGGGACAGACCCAGGGGATAGAAGTACAAAGGCTGGATGGATTCTTAAAACCACTGAAACCCTTGTATCTGAAATTGCTGTGCTAAGACCTATCATTGCCTTATGTGAGCAGAGCTCACCTAAGGTTCCTACCAGTGGCAAGCAGAGGCCAGAGCCCAGCCGCAGCTCTGGTCATCTGAGCAGCAGGCAAAGCAAAGTTGGAGTTGGGCCCAGCCATAGCACCCCATAGGCAAAGAAAAGCAGCAGTTGGTTTCACCCACAGGTCACAGCTTCTAGCAGCAGAGTGAGAGCAACAGAGCGCACTACAGTGAGAGCAGAGGAATTTGTAGTAAGTCTGTGTCAGCTTAGCAACTAGGATGAGGTCTGCCTGTCCTACGTGCTGAAATCAATAAAGCAGGAGGGGTGGTAGAGCCCCAGAGCTGTCTACAAAACAGGGACT